TCTGCGTGGCTTATTGGAGATAAGAGTCTCATGACCTTGCCTGCCCAGGCTGGCTTTAAACCACAGTCCTCAGATCTCAGCCTCCTTAGTAGCTAGAATTATAGGCATGAACCACCAGCACCCAGCTTCAGTGAAGATTTTTAAACATGTGCCTGTCTCACATCTTATTACATGGTATGGGGTTGAGAAAGGAGAGCATGATGGATGTTTTTTAAAAAATTAATTTGTTGGCTGGGAACAGTGGCTCATGCCTATAATCCTAGCTATTCAGGAGGTAAAAGTTGGGAGGATTGGTTTGAGGCCAGCCTACGGAAAATGTAAGCAAGGGCTGGGTAGGTGGCTCAGTGGTAGAGTGCTTGCCTTGCATATCTGAGGCCCTGGGTTCGATTCCTCAGCACCACATAAGCAGAAAAAGCTGGTAGTGGCGCTATGGCTCGAGTGGTAGAGCGCTAACCTTGAGCTGAAGGGTTGAGGGACAGCGCCCAGGCCCAGAGTTCAGGCCTCATAACCGACATAATTAATTAATTAAAATAAAGTAAGACAAAATAAACCAGGCATGGTAGTGCATGCCTGTGATCCCAGCTGCTCAGAGGGCCAAGTGGCCTTTACGCCTGCAGTTCCAGCTACTAGGGAGCCCTTGGGTAAGCGGAGGATGGTTGTCTGAGGCCAACCTGAGACCAGGTCTGAAGGGCTGGGGCTATTGTTGAAGTGAAAAAGCAGGTGTGAGTCTGAGTACTGTCAGTCAATCAACAAACTTGTTGTATTGAGAATGCTTTGTATCTGACACAGAATGATAAGACAGCCCCATAGGTAGTAAGTTGTGAAGTGTTTATGTTAGCATCTACCAGTGCACATATAAAGATGGGCTGGAAAACAGGAATAAGAAATGTTTTATGTGATTCTGGAATCACTGGTACCATAGCTAACTGTGTAATTGATAACTTTGAGAATATATCTGGGCTTTTCCATTGTTGGAGGAAGAAGCCTGGGTTTACACTTGATGACTGGGATGTAATCACGTCGGTGTGGTTAAATTCTAACTCCTGGTGTCCACAGGGAAAAGTCCAGAGTTTATCTGAGGAGGCCTGAGCGTGACCCAGGCCTTTGGCCATTGCTACAAAGTGAACTTGAAAAACAACCAAGAATGGACCAGTTAGGTGTGACCAGAGTCGTACAGTGTTCTGTTGTGTTGGGACTCAGTTGGCTCACCGTTTCGAAAAGTAGCTCTGTGAAGGAAACAACTCGGGATTTCCTTCACAGGAGACATTCTCTTCATTCTATGGCCTATGACTTTAAAAAATATGTTTATTCACAAGCATGTACTCCGTATTTAGCGAGGGGTCTGCTTTGTTGATTCTCTAGGGCTCCCTCAGCAATGGTGGTCTACTGTGATTCACATCAGGGCTGAGTGCTGGTTCCCTGCTAGGCACTGGCTGAGAAGGTTCTGGAGCCCAGGAGAACAGTGGCTGATTGTAGGCCTGCTTTTCCTCAGGTGACAGGAGCTGAGGCGGTAGCTCTGCGCTCCGGAACACAGCCTCTTTTCATGCTCAGGGCAAGACAGAGTGTCTCTGTGAAGATGATGCGCACATTGCTGGCTTTATTTGCATTCCTGGCCAAAAAAGAAAAAAAACTGGAGTGAAGGGCACGGGGGGGGGGGGGGGGGGAGGCGAGCCACAGCGAGCCTTCATTGGTGAGAACTCGGCCTATGGCATTGAGCAGGGCCGGCCCAGGGTACGTGAACATCGACAGGCTTTTCCTTATGGGGTGAGAATCGGGTTGTCCCAGGCAGGATCTACTGGCCAAGACACCCCTGCACATGGTAGGAAAGGAAAGCCCCAGAGAGTCCAAGGATTTGGGACCCCCAATTCTGCACGCCAGCCAGCCGGTGAGATCTTTCTGCTCTTTCTTTGCTTAGGGAATGTCAGACAGCCCTGCAAACAGGTCTGGCTGCATATTTTGAGTGAGCGTGCTCTCCATGTGGAGCTGGAAGTGAGCTCAGGGACCTAGCGTGGAAAGTCACATTCTATCCGCCTGAGCACAAGTTTCCAGGCACGAGGGTCTGGATGGACTCTGGCTGAAATTAGACATTCAGAGGTGTACAGCCTTTGGTTTGTTTGTTTGTTTTTCAAATAGAATTCACTGCCCACCGGCTTTAGAGTGAAAACCTCATGCCTCCCCTCTAGCGGCTACAACCGTTCAATCCTGTTTTATTGTTCTTCATGTTTTGGATTGGGAGCTGGTGTCTGTGTGTGTGTGTGTCTGTGTGTCTGTGTGTGTGTGTCTGTGTGTGTGTGTGTGTGTCTGTGTGTCTGTGTGTCTCTGTGTCTGTGTCTCTGTGTGTGTGTCTGTGTGTGTCTCTGTGTGTGTCTCTGTGTGTGTCTCTGTGTCTGTGTCTCTGTGTGTGTGTGTGTCTGTGTGTGTGTCTGTGTCTGCGTGTCTGTGTGTCTGCGTGTCTGTGTGTCTGCGTGTCTGTGTGTCTGTGTGTCTGTGTCTGTGTCTGTGTCTAGTAGATTAGGCAAGTGTTCTACCACTGAGCAACAATCCTCTTTTCCCTAATATTTTTACTTGAAACATAAAGAATAAGTGCCCTTACTTGTCCTCTGTTTGTTCTTCTTTTTGGTACTTTTCAGGATTCAAAAGTTAGAGGCAAAAGTGCTCTGCTCTCCATCAGCTGTAGTGTTAGATGTGGGGGAAGGGGTATGGGGGAGTTACCATCTAGGGGCACAGGGACAGATGGCTTACATTTTTGCTCCCTGCTTTTAGCAGACCTTGTTGGTGTGGCTCTAGGAAAACACATTACCTAATCCTGTAATTTAAACAAACGAAATGGCTTTGCTTTTAAAATTGAAATGCATAGCTCTGGTCAGCAGCAGCAGCCAGGCTTGTGCTTTGAAAGGTTCCTGTGTTTCCTTTTTTTAAATGTTTGGTTTAGCCAGAAGTAGCCTTTACTAAAAGGCCACATGATCTGTGATTGAAGCTCAGCCTTACCTTAGCTTTCTCGTCTGTGGAGATGGATCATAACCAGGTGTTTCTTGAAATAGTGGGTGTTTTGTCAAAAAGATTTTTTAAAAAAACTCAGAGTGCAGAAAACTTTCCTTTCTTGGTTATTGTGTGTGTGTGTGTGTGTGTGTATCTGCGTGTGTGTATCTGTGTGTGTGTATGCGTGTGTGTGTGTGTGTATCTGCGTGTGTGTATCTGTGTGTGTGTATCTGTGTGTGTACCTGTGTGTGTGTATCTGTGTGTGTGTATCTGTGTCTGTCTGCCTGCCTGCATGCGTGTGTGCATGTGTGCCTGTCTTTCTTCAGTTTGTCCTGGGGCTTGAACTCAGGGCCTGGTTACTGTTCCTGAGCTTTTTGGCTCAAGGGTAGCACTTTATCACTTGAGTCACAGCTCCATTTCTGGCTTTTTAGTAGTTAATTGGACATAAGACAACATTCAAGGACTTCCCTGCCCAGGCTGGTTTTGAACCTTGATCATCCATCAGATCTCAGCCTCCTGAGTTGCTAGGATTACAGGCATGAGCCACCCACTCTGGCTCTTTTTTGTTTTTAAGAGGGGGAGTCTGTCCTTTGAATTTTAGCACCCTGGCAGCCAAGGTACTAGAGATTCTGACACAGAGTCTGTTCCATCTTCCTGGCAAGAAGGTGTCACAGAGCACAAGAGAATCCTGTGGAGATAGGTACCCAGTGGCTCTCAGCTACCCATTAGAAAGTCTGCCTAGCCTGCAGAATGGGGACTTAGGAGAGAGGGAACTGGCACCATGTGCATACTAGGCCTCATGGGTCTGCTCTGACCTATAACTGTGTTAGTTTACTGCTGATAGCATTTTATGTCCCAGATAACAGTTTGTAAATCAGGAATAGGGAGGTAGGGGGCCGGGTCAGGGGTGTGCTGGTCCTGGGCTTACACTCAAGGCCTAGGTGTTATCCCTGAGCTTTTGTGCTTAAGGCTAGTATTCTACCACTTGAGCCACAGCTCCTCTTCTAGCTCTTTTAATGGTTAATTGGAGAGAAGACTGTAACAGACTCTTGTCCCAGCTCGCTTCCAGCTACTGTCCTTAGATCTCAGTCTCCTGAGTAGTTAGGATTACAGCTATGAGCTACCAGCTCCTGGTCTAGCAACTCTATGGTCTCTAGACCATAGAGTACAAGTGAGATAGTCCATGTGACAATGCTTAGAAACTGTGTGTGTGTGTGTGTGTGTGTGTGTGTGTGTGTGTACACATGTGCATGGAACCAGGATTTAAACTCAGGGCTTTGCTCTACCACCAGTGTTCCACCACATGAGCCAAACCTCTAGTCTGGCATTTTACTGGTTAATTGGAGATGAAGTCTCTTGGACTTTTCTACCCAGGCTCACTTCAAACCTCATTCCTTCAGGCAGGTCTCAACCAGCTATTCAAAAATAGCTGGGATTGCAGAAGGCTACTACTGGTATCTGGATCTTTGAAGCCTTAGTAAATGAATTCTCTTAAATATATTTAGGAAGGACTTACCAAAGTGTTTGGCTCTTTAAAATCTTTGCCTCATTACATTATTTAACTTTGTGAATTAAATTCTTGCAGCTCCATATTTTTTTAAGGGAAATCTAAAAGATCAGAGAAGTCTGTTAAGTTACCAGCTAAGTTTTAGATCTGGGGTTAAAACATAGATCTATCACTCTTAAATTTTTACCAGCTGACTATGCTACAACATACATAATTTGTTTTTGTTTTTACCAAAATGCATAATGCATAGCCAGGTGGCGCACACCTATCATCCTAGTTAGTCAGGAAGCTGAGATCTGAGGATCAAGGTTCAAAGCCAGCCTCGGGCAGAAAAAAAAATCCATAGAGACTCTTACCACTGATTAATAACTGGGGAGCTGGAGGCGTGGCTCCAGTGGTAGACCATCAGCCATGAGCAAAAAAATAAAAAAGTCTAGCAAGTGCTTGGTGCCCTGAGTTCAAGCCCCCATCAGTACTGGCACCCAAAGGTACATAATTATTTTCTCTCTTTTAGAAAAAGCAGACGTTGTGAACGGAGACCATGACAAGGAGCAGAAAGGCCCTTACTGTGTGGAAACCCCCTATGGTTATCAGCTAGACTTGGATTTCGTCAAATACGTGGATGACATACAGAAGGGCAACACCATCAGGAAAGCGAACATCCAAAAGAGGCGGAAACCACCTGTGCCATGCCCGGATTCCAGGACCGCGCCGGGCCAGCCAAGCTTTTGGACTTCTACTGAATCGCTTTCATCCTCCAACAGTGATGACAACAAACAGAGTCCCAACTTTCTCCTAGGCAGAAGCCTAGTCACATCAACTCCCGTCCCAAGGCCACCTGCCCCGCTAGAGACCTCACCCACGTTCCTTACCGTCCCAGAAAGTCGCCAGCTGCCCCCGCCCTCCCCACAGCTCCCCAGGCACAACCTTCATGTCACCAAGACCCTGATGGAGACCCGAAGAAGACTCGAACAGGAGAGGGTCACCATGCAGATGACACCGGGCGAGTTCAGAAGGCCCCGGCTGGCTAGTTTTGGAGGCATGGGCTCCACCAGCTCTCTCCCCTCTTTTATGGGTTCTGGAAGCCACCATCCTGCCTTGCAGCTTCAGAACGGATACCAAGGCAATGGGGATTATGGCAGCTATGCCCCAGCGGCAGCTACCACCTCCTCCATGGGCAGCTCCATCCGCCACAGCCCCCTGAGCTCAGGGATCTCCACCCCCGTGACCAACGTGAGCCCCATGCACCTGCAGCACATCCGCGAGCAGATGGCCATCGCCCTGAAGCGCCTGAAGGAGCTTGAAGAGCAGGTGCGAACCATCCCCGTCCTCCAGGTCAAGATCTCGGTCTTGCAGGAGGAGAAGCGGCAGTTGGCCTCGCAGCTGAAAACGCAGCAGGCCGCCTGGCAGGATGATGTGTGCGGGGTGCGGAAACGTTCTTACAGTGCAGGGAATGCTTCCCAGCTCCAGCTCCTCTCCCGGGCCCGGAGGGGTGGCGGGGAGCTGTACATCGACTATGAAGAGGAAGAGATGGAGAGCGTGGAGCAGAGCACACAGAGGATCAAGGAGTTCCGGCAGCTCACCGCCGACATGCAGGCGCTGGAGCAGAAGATCCAAGACAGCAGCTGCGAGGCCGCCTCAGAGCCCAGGGAGAATGGGCAGTGCCGGCCTCCAGAGCGTCGATCGGTGGCAGTGGGGGGCGACGGGAATATGAATGACATCGTCGTGTACCAGAGGAGCTCCAGACCCTGCAAGGATGCGGCGGTAGGAACAGTCACAGAGACGAGGAACTTGGGGGTCAGCGTGACAGAAGCCATGCTGGGAGTGACGACCGAAGCCGACAAGGAAATCGAGCTGCAACAGCAGACCATCGAGGCCTTGAAAGAGAAGATCTACCGTCTGGAGGTGCAGCTGAAAGAAACCACCCACGACCGGGAGATGACTAAACTCAAACAGGAGCTACAGGCTGCGGGATCCAGGAAGAAAGTGGACAAGGCCACGATGGCCCAGCCCCTGGTCTTCAGCAAGTTGGTGGAAGCCACGGTGCAGACCAGAGACCAAGTAGTTGGCAGTCACGTGAGCACAGTGGACACGTGTGTTGGAACCGCCTTGCAGACGAATAGCATAGGCATCTCCTGCCAGCCCGAGTGCCGGAGTCAAATGGTGGGACTCGAGCTGCCCATGAACTGGTGGATTGTGAAGGAGAGGGTGGAAATGCATGATCGATGCACAGGAAGGTCAGTGGAGACCCGAGACCAGAGTGTGGGTGTGGAAGTCAGCGTCTGTGAAACGGGCAGCAACACGGAGACGTCTGGCAGCGACCTGAAGAGCCTCCAGACAAACCTGCACCTCAAGGATGTGCGGTCCATCGGCTGTGGGGATTGCTCTGTCCATGTGACTGTCTGCTCTCCCAAGGAGTACACCTCACGCAGCGTGGCCACGGAGGCCGTGGGCCAGGTGGAAGTTGCTGTCATGGCCGCGCCTCATACCACAAGCCAGCACACCAGTACGTCTTTGGGCCAGGTAGACCAGTCCACCAGCACCGACCCGGCCACCCTTGTAGACTCCTGCACCAACACGTTCCTCAGTACTTGGGACAAGCAGACCAACACCCAGATAGTGGAGATGCGGACGGTGGCTGTAGGAGAAGGCCGAGTCAAAGACATCAACCCTTCCACCAAGACAAGGTCGGTGGGGGTTGGGACAATGCTTTCTGGCAGTTCAGAGTTGGACAGACCATCCACTGTGAAGACCAGAGAGTCAGGTGTGGGGCAGATAAATATTCACGACAACTACCTGGTTGGTCTCAAAATGAGGAACATAGCATGTGGGTCGCCACCATTGACTGTGGGGCCAACAGGCAGCCGGAGGAGCGTAGGTGTGGGGGATGAACCTATAGGGGAGCTCCTCCTAGGGGGCCCTGAACCCCAGGTTGCATCTGGAATGATGACCGGCTTGGATCACTACATCGAGCGGGTACAGAAGCTGCTGGCCGAGCAGCAGACGCTGCTGGCGGCCAACTACAGTGAACTGGCAGAAGCTTTCGGGGAGCCTTACTCACAGATTGGCTCCCTCAACTCCCAGCTCATGAGCACCCTGTCCTCCATCAACTCTGTCATGAAGTCTGCAAGCACCGAAGAGCTCAGGAACCCCGACTTCCAGAAAACCAATCTGGGTAAAGTCACAGGTGAGTGGCCGCACCCAGAGGGACCTGGGAATGACAAGGTTGATGGAAGTGCGTTTTCTGGGTGCTGTAACTAGGTTCCCCAGACTGGGAAATGTACAAAGAGTAAGGGTTTTTACTAAGTAAGCTCTTGGTGGTGGAGGCTGGCAAGTCCAAAGCATGACCCTGGCATATGGTGGGCCTTTTGGTTCTATCATCAAAAGGTCAGGGCATCGTGTGTGGAAGACAAAGCAGGTGTAACAGCCCTGCCGTAATGGTTGTACTCCTATAGTTGTGTCGATCCGTTCATGCTCACGTGGACAGTGAGATTCAGTGTGCAGCCCATTTATGGATGGGGTAAGATGGGAAAGAATGTCTTTCTAGGAAGTAAGGATTTTTTTTTAATCTTCTGGGACAATTTTTTTGGGAGTCATGGAGAAAATTTGACAATGGTAATGGATAGAATGAAAACCAGAAATCCCTAAGAGCTCTACTGTTTTCCACTGTGGTAGTTTCCTTACCCTCTGACTGGAGAAAACCTAGTATTGGCTGGCCCAGGGGTTTAGTTTTCTATGATGCTTTATGGTGGTCTATCATTTTATATAGAACACTTCTCCTTCAACACTTCTCCTATCTGTATCCATAAGTAGCAGTATGTCTCCAATGCATAAAATGTTTTCAGTTAATTTTGTGTATGGATGGTGCTGGTTTGGGGGCTTGAACTCAGGGCCTGGGCTCTGTCCTTGAGATCTTTTGCTCAAGGCTAGCGGTCTAGCACTTTGAGCCAAAGCAACCACTTGTGATTTTCTTGTGGATAATTGGAGATAAGTGCCTCACAGACTTTCCTGTCCAGGCTGGCTTGGAACCTCGATCCGCAGATCTCTCTCCTGAGTAGCTAGGATTTACAGGTGTGAGCCACCAGCTTAGTTAAAATTTTTATGAGGGAAGAGACATTTTTGTCAATTCATTACCACAACAAATAATCATGAAATTCCTACTTCCAATATAGGGACAGGCTCAGAGGACAGTTCCATGAGCAAAACCTGGTCCTTTCCTCCTGGTGCACAAATGACAGACAGGGGCCCAATGACAGGCTAGGAGGTGGAAAGTACTAGGAAGATTATGTCTGCAGATCTGGGGGTAGGAGAGTCGATTAGCTTGGCAGGGGCTGTTTGCAATAAGGGACTCAAGCAAGAATCACTTTCCTTGGTGCCAGCTGCTCTGTGTGTCTAAAAGTGCGCCCAGTATCTCACCAAACCCTCTATTACTTTGTCAGCATCCATTTCTGGTATGCTAGTGACCTAATCCGGCCTGTTTCCTGTTACATTCTGAAAAGAGTGATAAAAATGGACTGAAATAGATTCTTTTTATATCTTCCTAGCTTTCTGCTTTCAAATCTGAACAACTATCAGTTTTTAGTACTGGTGCTATGGATCGATAGGTTATTGTAGAATAAGACTGACAGCTGATATTTGGAGAGAGGGATTGTCTTTTATTGTGTTTGTTTTTTGGTTGGTTGGTCCATGGGGCTTGAACTCAGGGCGTAAGTGCTGTCCCTGCCTTTTTTTTTCCCCTCAAGGCTAGTGCTTTACCACTTTGAGTTACAGCTTCACCTTCACTTTTTCTGATGATTAACAGGAGATAAGAGTCTCCCGGACTCTCCTGCACGGCTTTGAACTGTGATCCTTAGATCTCAGCTTCCAGAGTAGCTAAGATTACAGGCATGAGCCACTTGTGTTGGGGGTGGGGGGAGGGAGGTTGCCTTTTAAAATCAAAGTGGTGGCTGTATTTTAGCTACTCAGGAGGCTGAGATCTGAGTTCAAAGCCAGCCTGGGCAGAAAAGTCTGTGACACTCTTATCTCCAATTAACCAGCAAAAAGCTAGAAGTGGACTTGTGGGCCAAGTGGTAGCACACCAACCTTAAGTAAATATGCTAAAGGACAAAGCCCAGACACGGAGTTCAAGCCCCAAAACTAGAAGAAAAAAAAATCTAATAAATATCCAGGGTAGTTGTTACGGAATAAACAAGACTAAAATGATACCTGTACTAAAGTAAAATCTTCAGTAACTCTTGTATGTCTGATGTCTGCTGTCTGCTTCCCCAGCCTTTAAAAAATCGTGATGTCAGATGTTGAAGTCAAAATAAAATTCCTGAATAGCTCAAGACACTGAGGACCCAAGGGATCGTAAAAGCATTTTCCTCCCAGCCTTCCCCCCTCCTCCCCAAACGGAGGTTTCTTATGTCACATTCTTACCAGAAATATCCAGCCCTGGATTGGATTGTGCCCACCCGCTTCCCTCCCATCCCCCAGCCCAGAGAGACCAGGGTGAAAGTTTCCTGGGCTTCTATTGTGCAGCTTTAACCCTATGAATGAACACCTAGCTAAAAGCCACAAGACCTACAGAGCATTCAGGAATGGCAGAATAAATACTTTTAGTGGCACAGGAATCCTAGTGGCAGCCCCGCCCCCCCCCAACCCACAGAACAGCTTGAGAGTATGTCTGTCATTCACATTACATTGGTCTTGTAGCCATGTTGCTCTAATGGGAGTAGAAGTCATTCAGGAAGTCAACCTGCTGTGTGGGGTTGTCTGTAGGCTGCAAATTGAAGCAGCTTGATCTAGTAAGGCAAGATTCCTAACGCTACACAGCAGCATGCAGGCCGGGTTGCAGTACACACTTGATGATTCGGGTGTTGCTTTCCATAGGGCAGGACCTGAATCTCTACCAAAAAGGAGTCATGGAGTACAGAAAGAAAGGTTTTCATTCATTCACACTTTCTTTACACACATACACACACACACAAAACTAGGAACTTGGGTTTAACGTCTACCAAAGAGACTATAAATAACCAGTGTATGAACCTAAACCTAAATTTAGGCCCTGAAGCCAGACAGTCTGGTTCAGATTCTTTCTTGACCACTTAGGACAAGTTGTGTTTTTTCCCCTCTCAGAGTCAGCATGCGGGTGGGTTTGGTGAGTCAGAGGACTAAAGAGCATCAGAGTCACCTGAAACACTGTGTCAGTGCTTGGCCAGCACTGGGGATTTTTGTTTTTGTTTTGTTTGGGGGGGGGGGTATTGTTGCTGCTGTTTGTTTCTGTTGGTCCTGGGTCTTGAACTCTGGGCCTGGGCACTGTCCCTGAGCTCCTTTAGGCTCAAGGATAATGAACACTCTACCACTTGAGCCACAGTACCACTTCTGGCTTTTTTCTGTCTAAAGGACTTTGTTTCCCTTGGCTGGCATAGGCATCAGCTTGGCCAGCATTGTTTTGTGACCACTTCCAGAAAGGGAAATGGGGATATAGAACAGCTGTCAACCTTTGACTTGGGCTGGGAATGTGGCTTAGTGGTAGAGTGCTTGACTAGCATGCTAGAAGCCCTGGGTTCCAATCCTCAATACCACATAAACAGAAAAAGCTGGGAATGGTGCTGTGGTAGAGTGCTAGTCTTGAGCAAAAGAAGCTCAAGGACAGTGCTCAGGTTCTGAGTGCAAGCCCCAGGACTGGGGAAAAAAATGGCTTTGGGGGGATTTGTTTTGGTTTTGGGTGGTGGTCCTGAGGTTTTGACCTTTCTTAGCACTGCACCACTCTCTCTTTCTGCTTTTGGTCATTTGTTGAACAAGATTAAGGTCTCGTAGCCCTATTTAAACCTACGACACAGTTGGGTTAACAAGTACACAGCACCACCACACTCAATTTATTAGTTGAGATGGAGTCTTCAGAACTTTTTGTCCAGGCTGGCCTTGAACCATGATCCTCTTGATCTCTACCTCCTAACATATGTGCCAGGGGCTTGAATTCAGGGCCTGGGCCCTGTTGCTGCTCTCTTTTGCTCAAGGCTGGTTCTTGAGCCACAGCTCCATTTCCAGCTCCATTTTCAGCTTTTTTTTTTTTTGTCTGTTGTGGGGCTTGAACTCTGGGCCTAGGTGTTGTCCCTCAGCTCTTCAGGTCAAGGCTAGCACTACCACTTGAGCCACAGCGCTACTTCCAGTTTTCTTGTGGTTTATTGGAGATAAGAGTCTTACAGCTTTTTTCTGCACAGGCTGGCTTTGAACCGAGATCCTCAGATCTCAGCCTCCTGAGTAGCTAGGATTACAGGTGTGAGCCACTGGCACCTGGCCATTTCCAGCTTTTTTAATTATAGATAACTGTCTCATAATTTTCTGCCCAAGCTGACTTTGAACCATGATCCTCAGTTCTCAGCCTCCTGAAAAGCTAGTATTTTAGGTGTGAGCCACTGGTGTCTCGCTTGGTCTTTTGTTTTTAATCCAAATATTGATCTTTATAATTCTTCATAAATCCTGTGGCCTCTCCCCACACCCCAATTATTATGCCTCCCTAATTTATATCAAGATAAAGAAAATGTTACAGGTAAAAAAAAATGAGAAAACAAAGTAATTGTGATATATTTTTCAGCCCAGAGTCATTCTGTCAGTGTTAAAGCTTAAAACAAAGTTTGTTGGTGCCCAGCCCAGAGTTCTGTTTATGTTTCCTGGAGTTGAGAGTTTCGTCGGTCAGTGGTATCACTTTTCAGTATGCTAAACATTACTTTTAGAAAAGTCATAATGCCTAACACTCCAGTGCAATGTATTAAAATTATAACGGGAGTATATGCTCATAAATGAACAGTTCAGAGGAGCATGAAACATAGTTGAGGCCTCCCTCTGGGACCTATGTAGTACTGAGCATTGCAAGTATGCAGGTATAGTTCTTTCTCTTTTCTTTTTCTTTTTTTTTTTTTTCAGTCCTAGGGCTTGAATTTAGGGCCTAGGTATGATCCCTAAGCTTTTGTGCTAAAAGCCAGAGCTCTACCACTTGAGTCACAACTCCCCTTTTACCTTTTTTATTGCTTAATTGGAGATAAAGAGTCTCGGGGACTTCCTGCCTGAGTAGCTTTGAACCGTGATCCTCAGATCTCAACCTCCTGAATAGCTAGGATTACAGGCCTGAGTTACCATCTCCCGGCCTTCTAACCAAATGTGGATAATCTATTGTCTTCCTATGTACTTTTTTTTGTTCATTTT